AATATTTCCTCAGACCAATTGAAGTTTTGAAATTTGCGCATTTTTTGTGCGTTCCTTCAGTTCCCTTTTTCACTCGCGAATGATCATCCCCAACGACTTCGTGAATAACTAGCTCGTCTGAATCTAATTCACTGTGACCTCTTTTGCAGTTTCTTCGATCGGTGGCAAATGCGCAGTCGACGAACAATGCTGGCGAGTCACAAACTTGTCCATTTGCGATAATCCCACGATGCTGTGTTCATGTCCGGTACGATACGTCAACGACGCGAATGGCAAAACGTGCCTGCCAGGTGATACATACCAAGACACCTATTCAGTGAAAGAAAGATTTCCAAACGAGCTCGTTGCTACGTTTAAAGGTAGATGTCAGCCGCTTTCAGCTTGTCAACGTTTCTATTTCAGTTAAGCGCTTGGACGAACCCTGCGTGATCAGCGAGCAATGCTTGGCCACATCACCCGATTCAACGTGTCTGAAGAATGCTGATGGTACTTCAATATGCAGATGCACTGGGACAAACATCATACGTTATGGATCTACATGCAACCGAAGTACAGGATATATTGCCAGTCTTCATATTGCATAGAAACTAGGAAAATCGAAAAAAAAATAATTATCAGTTTATTGGCTGTGACGTTTTATAGTTTTTATTCGATTACTTATTTTAAATCGATTTAGATTTTTAATTTCCCATATTTACTTAAATGTAAAGTGACATCGCGATCATAAGACGCTCCTTCATTTGTTCACTAGTATCCAAAATGAAAACGGTCTTCAACATCAAATGTATGATCCACACCCATTGTAAAAATTTAATTTACTCTGAATCACAAGATTCTGTTTTTCATGATTGATGCCGTTGCCAACTCAAAAACTCCCAAACACTTCCAAAATAAGTCGAGGTTCTGACTCTTATTCCCAATCCGAATTTAAAATTATGTGAAAGATTTATGGTATTTGAATTTTATTTTGTATTCAAACGATTCCCTAATTGACCAAAATCGGTAATTTTGCGTTATCCGCTAATCGAAGACGACGGAATTTTTTTTAGACACCTTCGCATCGCTCTCTCATTTTTTGGCCAATAAAAAAAAATGTGCCTTCCGTGCTGGAGTAAATGCCATCATGCATTTGCCCTATTTTTATTTTTGCGACAGCTCTTGGACTTGGAGAGGATTGTGTCACTGGTGACTTGTGCCAGGCTCGAGTGACAGGGTCGACTTGCGATGCAGGTTCGAAAAAGTGCGTCTGTGAAGCCAACAACTACATACAATTCAGGATACCCAATCAAACGTTGGATACTTGCATACCAGGTTAGACAGCCTAAAAAGCTATTACATCATGTTCAGTATTTGAGAATAAATTCTTTCTGCTAATTTAAAAGAAAAAAACTCAAGCATCGAGAGCAAAGACCCCTGTCACGTAATGAAAATATTTCAAGTAGATCGTGTTTTTCACTGGGTACATTTTTTTTTTATCGTGCACGGATCCGCCAGCCATCCAAATGTACTCATTAACACCAGGAAACATTAGTGTTGAATATATGCGCATTGCATCTCAAACCTCAAAATTATGTTCCAATACAAGCAGTACTTCCAATGAAAGCTATATTTTTCGGTCTCAACGCATGTTTTGTTATGCTGAATGCATGGATTGTCTTCAATTTTTAATCGGTGAAAAAGAAGTTGTCCAAGTCGGGGCTGCAATTGATGAAAAATTCTTGATGAATGAGGAAAGACTTTCTTCACTTATTTTACATTGATGCAAAGTGCTTATTAGTCGAACTCTGACTCAAAATCCCAAATTATCAAATTATTACAAATTTAATAATTTAGAGATACTGAACTAAAATAAAATTTTGAATCACTCGTATCGTAGTGCATCATAATACACAATAACAGTGCAATTATCAGGATTTAAATCTTTCTCGAAATCTGTAACAATTCGTAAAAGATACGTTATTCTAGCAGAAGCCGAGGAGCCGAACGCGAAATAATTTTGATGTGCCGTATCTGGCTCTTTTTTCTTCCTTTCTTTTTTGCAGTGGTATCCCTCGACGGAATCTGCGTCTATGACGAATCTTGCCAAGCAACAGATGCGAATGCTCTTTGTTTGTCTCAGAACGGAGAAAAGCGATGTGGCTGCAATTCAAAAAACTTCACTGCCGTGCTTGGCCAGTGCG